CTAGAAAGGGACTGGGTTGCTCTGGGTGAGAAGGGTCAGGAAGCAGTATTGGTTCCCCAGGTGTCTGGGGCCCCAAGACTAGGAGTGGCGCAGGGCTCAAACTAGGAGTATAGAATGGCGAGGGGGGGGGATGGAAGGGTGAATGTCAGGATTAGCATTTTTATACGCCAACTGTTTCACATACTCAAGCGCTGTTTCAACATTTCAAAATATTTTCCCTGTTGTGGTCATTAACCAATGAACAAAATCTCCAAAAGGCTCATCAGATCCCTGCTTAACTGAAATGAGAGAAGCTCCCAGGTCCCCTTTGACCGGAAGTTTTCTCCATGCTTTCACGGCAGCAACTTGAATTTGTGCAAAAAGACCTGCATCATAGTGCATCTGTCGTTCACTGGATTCATACTGGCCTCCACCTATTAACATATCAAAATCCCATCCATTTCCAGTTTGTTGATTAGTTCCAACTGTTTCTTTACAGTTGTCATAATACTCTGATTTCCATAGCAAATAATCACCCCCACTAAGGACTGCCTTTACCAGAGTATTCCAATCAATAGGAGTTAGCCATTTTTCAGCCTCCCCTTCCACAAGAGCCAAGGTATATGGAGCTGTAGCCCCATACTGCGACACAGCAGCCTTTAATTCTTTGATTACTTGGAATTCATGTCCTCTATGATGTCTCCATGTCTGCTTCTGGTCATCAACTGTTTCTGTTATGGGAAAAGCCTCCATATGGGAGGAAAATCTATCAGGGTCATTAAAATTTTCTTTATATGAATGGAGGCCAGGCCCTCCGGGGAATGGATGAGCTCTTTCTCTATCTGCTCTTCCTTTATCTACAACAGCCTCACTACCTCTACCTAGTTGACTGAGAACTCCTTCTAAAAATCTCTTTAGCTTGGGCAACTGCCACTACTGGCTCATGTCCATCTCTCTTATCTATTAACTCTCTTATTAAATTCCAATAAGAAAAAGCAGTAACCAGGACCTTTCCCAGTTCAAAGACCTTATAGTAATCCTCTAGTGCACTTTCTACTCTCTTCCATCTTTTAATGTCTATCAAGCCCTCCTGGGGAAACCAGGGACAAATTTCTTTAACAAAAGCAAAGAAATGAAACAAATCCATAGTCTTAACCCTTACTCCCCTGTCTTTAAAGCGTCCTTTAACTGCTTAACATAAAGCTCATGCTGACTCAATTCTTGCCCCATGATCTGACGTTTCCACTGACTTTCGGTTTCAGCCAAGGCAGGTTCCCACGGCAGCTCCGATGTGTCTCAAAATTTGTCAAACACGTTCCTTTTCACGTGTCTCCCTCACTGCTGCCTCAGTATCCAAGCCCCATGTTGGGCGCCAGATGTCCCGGCCCACAGGACTTTCAACGGGGTACCTGGAGTGAGGAGTGGGGATTGAATGGGGCAAGAGACACAGAGAATGGAGACAAGACAGTGCTCTGATCAAGTCTCGTTTATTGAACATCTGCACAAAGCTTTTATAGGGAAGCAGAGGGCGGAAGAAGCTGGGTGGGTATGTTTTGCTGTTTACCACACATTCCACAGCCAGACCAAGAGGTAGGATGTTTTTACAGGATGAGGAAATTTACAAGGTTGAGGCAGAAAAACATGTTTTTCACAAAGTCATAGGGCTACTCTTAAAAGGAAGTCAGAGGCTGAAGCTGTAAACAGCTTGCTTCACAGACAATAGTTACTATTTCTGGGTAGGGGGCCCAGGGCTCCCTACAACATTCTATATTCAAAAAGGTCTATGTTATTCATTTTTATTTCAATTTCAAAAGCTAACATGACATTCTTTATTTCTAACTAAAGAAAATGAAACACACAGAAATTAAGTGATTTTCCCCCAAAGCAATACCAAGAAGCGTAATTAAAATTTTGAGTTCTTTCAGTTCTTCCAGCTCTTAATGATGGGCAACACTGTCAAATCGCATACATGGAGGGAGACTTAGCAAAGAACACCCCCCAAAATAGCAACCTCCTTTCTAATCATAAAAAATAATCATAAAAATTGGGGCTGGAGAGATGGCTCAGCGGTTAAGAGCACCAACTGCTCTTGCAGAGGACCTGAGTTCAATTCCCAGCACCCACAGGGTGGCTACAAACTGTCCTTAGCTTCAGTTCCAGGGGAATCCAAAGCTCTCTTCTGACCTCCACAGCATTGCACAACATAGGTGCACACACATGCAGGCAATACACTCATACACATAAAATAAAAATAATAAATAGAATATTTAAAAAATAATAATCATGAAATTTACTAATTATAAATAATGTAATGGGTTATGTACTGTTCTTCCCATTTAAATGTATTTTTAAATTCAATAATATCATCTGAGAGGTTGCCAAGGTTAATGAGTTATAAAAAATTATATGCCCCGAAACTTAGCGCAATGTCTAGTTCACACAAACATTCAGTACACATGCTATTTGTAGTTACTATACTCATGAGAAGGAATTTAATCTTAAGAAATAATTGACCTTCTGCCTTTAGCTGGCTAAGGGTATGGGTGTTTTGGCAGAAAATTTGTTAGTAGAGCACCAAGCATCCTTCGGTTATGTAAACCGAAGCTCTTTTACCATCTTCTGAAGCTGAGAAACCAGGCCTCTCTCATTCTCCACCTTTGAATTCATCTGACTCATTTCTACTTCCTTCCTACTTAGGAAAATGTGACAAAAAGAAGTTGTTAGAATAATAACATATTTAAATATTTTAAAATTAAAAGTTAGCATGTGAATTCTTAATATAAAAATCCAACCATACATTTACATTTGAAGTTTTAGTGACTATTACATAATCCTTGCTCGCTCTTTACAAGAAACCATGATGATGTGTTTGGTGTGCATCCTTCAAACTGTTCTTTAAGTACTCACAAGAATTTTTGTTTATGTATACATAGTTGAAGGAATAATATTTTTGTACTGCAAAAGCTATAGCAGTGTATTAATTTGCATGTATAGATGTACAACTTAAGCCTATCCCAATAATACAAGGGAGATGCTTCTAAAGTCCCAAACAGAGACAGCTTCACTGAACAGTTCATTATGGCATCCCACAAGATGTGCTCATCCTATAGCATATTTGCAAATTTCTCTTTTTAATAGTCATTGTATGAATTTGTGTAAGCTTGATTATTGTAGATGCTTATCAGTAGAAGAATGCAACATTTGTCCTCTTGTGGTTCGCATATTTTACTCAGCCCAGTGTCCTCTTGGTTCATCCACACTGTCATACATGACAGCATTTCCTTCTTTTACAATGCCTCAGTGCACACTTAGGTTGTATGTCTATCTTCACCTTTGTAAACAACGTTGTGTTTTATAATGGCTTTCTTTTAATACTGTGTTATTTAGTACACTGGATTTTGGAAATCATATATGGTGGGAACTTAAATTTTACTTCAGAAAATGAATAGTTAATAATGTCAGTGTGGCACTGATGGCTCTATCCTGCAATTCACTGTGTGAAATGCTACCCTTAACATGTTATGAATTTTAAATACAAAAAGGTCCATTTACAGATTCTAGTTCTTAAGTAGCTATTTCCTGAAAACACAAATTTCTAAAATGTTGACACTGTGGCTCATGGTCCACAAAGATGTGCCATATCATCTCACCTTGCTGAACTGACACCATTTTTATCACAGAATGCAAAGGAAACTCTATCATCATTTTCCAGTACACTATTCCATCACATTCATAAGGTGACCCATTTCATCATTTCAAATTTTCAGCAAATTATCAATAGGTTATTACTCAGGCCTCACAAGAGTGTGAATAATACCAACATGTGTATGCAAACAGAAAAGCCCAAAAGTCAACGCCTGCCCACTCGCTTGACTCCTTAACTGTGGACCCCAATCTTTGATATGCTCTTAGCTTTGACCTCGTCTTGTGTTTGGACCTCACTTGCCTCTCCTCTTATTTGGTAGAGTCTAAATTCTTAAGTTCTATCCAAAATCCTAGTAAAAAGAAGACCAAAGGGTAGAAAGTATAAAAATCTATTTCACTAGCCAGTAGAACTAAACAGAGAGCATCTTCCCGTCAGTTAAATGGGGTACGATGAATCCAAATGAACTGACTGAAAGGTTTCATAATTTTTATCACTTTCATATTTTAGGACTTCAGATTTTTAAGACTTAATGTTTATATAGTATTTTTTACCCAAAATAATCCCCTACCAAAATACTAATGAATAAGTATACAACAGACAAACAGATACAAACAGGAAGATTTCAGACTTCGTGTAATGGTGACTTTTTGCTGTGTTGTGCTGCCATTGGCTTTGTTGTGTAACAGTTTCCTCTAAGATTAACTTTCCATATTGGAGGAAGTTTGTAAATCACAAGATCTTCCAAAAGGAAGTAAAGGACACAAAAGCTTCAGGAAGTCCCTGAAACTAACCAGATTCACCAGGTTCCTCTTTCCCATGCACTTAGAAATGCTAAGGACTACTGAGAGGCACTCTCAGACAAGCTGAGCTGTATGGAAGACTCTTAGACTAAGACAAGCTACCAAGAAGCAGCAAAGACCAGCAGAGCTGTCTGAAAGAAGCAGAGGTGAGCCAAGGTGCTTTCAAGAAACCTGGATCAGCCCAGCAGCCTGGAAGAGGCACTAATAAACTGAGCTCCCTGGAAAGGACACTGTCTATGCTGTTGAGCTGCCTGCAGGTGTGCAGTGTGTTCCTGGTTTCCTGTGTTGTCAACTGTCACGTATGCTGGGTTGGGCTTTCATGATGCAGCTGAAATTGAGTCATTTCTTCTTCTATGGGTAACTCCTCACCCATAATCCTGTAAGTAAGCCCAATAAAATTTACTGGCTCAACAAGTTAGATTCTGGTGGTATCCTGACTTAGGTCTGTAGTTGGTTCCCTATCTGCAGTGAGTAGACATTAGTTCATGTCCTCCAAGAAACAGTGCCACACAACAGTCATCATGGGTAAAAGATGTGGGCCAATTCCTCTCGTACAGATTCCCACAATCCCCTCTTGTAGCTTTCACTTTTTATTCTCATACCCCCTAGATTGTGAATTTTCTCTATTTTTGCAAATGTGTTATAGAGTCCATCAAATTAAAAATACCCATCTTCCAAGCCTGTGGTCACTGCCATGGGTCTTGAGATATCTGGCCTGAAGCCCTGGAATGAAGGGTTGCTCCTCCCCATGTAGGATCACATGGAAAGCTCCTGGCTAAGGCAATGGAAACACACTCACTTCCTCAGCTGCTCTGTGAGCTGCTGCCAGCTGCTTTCCAGCTTCCCCAAGCCTTCCCGATTCATCCTCAAATCTTCCTCCAGCTGGCACTTCTCCCACTCACACTTCATTCTGGCTTTGCTCTCCTGATCAAGGGCACCTTCCAAATGACCAAAAGAAAGACTGCTTAACCAAAGACACAGGCAAAGTTTAAACTGTACTAAAGGTGTTCACATTATCCAAGAATTTTCAGGAAAAAGAAAAATATGAGAGTAGATTTTGTAAATGATACCTATTTTCAAATACATTTTAGGGCCCACAAGAGGACTCAGCTAAGCCTAATGACACTTGATTTTGATCATTGGGATTCCGTAGTGGAAGGAAAGAATTATCTCCCACAAGTTATCCTTTGATCTCCATATGTACAACAAGGCACTCATGCGTGCATACACACACACACACACACATAAGTAAATAAATATAATAAAAATTTTTAAAGCATTTAAAAGTAAGTGTTACATTCATCAATAGGTTAGCAAAAGAATATAGAAACCAATGATAGATAGACAGACTATGAGGTCTGTCCTAAAGAGGCAAAAGTGGCCAGTCCACCCCTGTTTGATCACTTCCAGGAAGGGGCAGCTTGCTTCCTTACTTGGCAGCTCATTCATGGGTAGATAAGCCCATTTACTCACAGACTTCATAAAATGCAAAAATGTTTTCTGTAAGTTCTAGCCACAAGGTCAAGCAAGCTCTGTTCCTTAGAGCTACAGCAATCAATTTGTCTCCAAGTGATCTGTGAATATCGACAACCTTCCTGAGTTTCATGTGGCATGACTCTGTATTCCGTTTACACTTCACACCTTCTTCTATTCCATAACATTCTGTCATATTCTGATATTCCACCAAGCTAGTCAGAGCATTCAAACTATCTGGATTAATGTTAAAACTGATAGAGAAATTGGTTTAGTAGGAAGTTACATAATTAAAATACTACTATTTGGATGTTCACTTTTTAGTAATTTTTGTAACTAATAAAATATATGAAATTCAAATTAGGTTTGGAGGAATGTTTAAGAAGCTATGTGTAAAAAACATGGAAGTAGATGAACTATAGGTTTTTATTGAATGGAGCTATGCATCCCCTATACAAGGTTGTAGCATAGAACTGTCTTCCAAATGTCAAGCTATCTTCTTGCCAAGCTTGGTTGCACCCGCTTGCTTAAGATCAGCCACAAACAAACCTGACTGTTGAGGCTTTGCAAAAAAGAAGGGGATGAGAGTTAGCCACATGTCCCAACCAACCAGTCAGCCAGAGTTGCACAAGGAGGAGGGACCAAAGGCTCCTAAGCAGAGGTGGCCCATAGGGAGGGGTTCTCACCATTTTAGATGGCTGATGGAAAGTCATGATATGGAGACTTTACAATGAGGTCTTGGGGGGTGGGCTCCACACTCCTGTAAGTAACCCCTTGCCTACCACTCTGTAAGTAAGCTGATTACCCAAACTGTAGTCTGGATGAATCAGATCCCCATTTGTCATAAGGATGGAGGGAGGAGGAGGCCAGATGGCATTTGCACCTCCCAAAAGGAAGTTTAGCAACAATTGTCATAGTCAAGCAGGATATGACAAAACTGAGGATGAGTTTGGGAAGAGCAATGATGTCTCTGATATGGGGAAGGAGACCAATGACTGAAGCAAAGTTGAGTGAGGGGAGAGTGTGGGCAGAGGAAATTTTGACAGAGTGGGCTATTCTCATAGGACTTGTAGGGGTAGCAGCAGTAGTACAGATAGTGAGATGTATAACTAGGGTGAGGCCACCTAAGTGAACGATGTCAGTGGGGGAAATTCCAGGATGGCAGTCCTCTGGTAGGTGGTATGAAGTGGCATACCTGCTTGAGTGGTGAGGTCTACCATGTGAGTATGGAGATGCTTTGAGAACAGCAGAAGGTCTAGAGCAAACTTTTCAAGCCCTTGGAGTAGTGCACCAGGGGCAGAAGATTCAGCAAGCAGTTGCAGAGACCGCCTGGCCACTGCTTTGTGTAATAAGAGATCTGTCCCAAGCAGAGGTGGTAACCCAGAGGGAGACTGAAAGTATAAGATAGGAATTGAAGCAAGAAAGGGATATGAGGCTGGGCCCCTCAGTATTGACTTCTGACATTGTTGGTAAATTGAATAAGAGAGAGAGAGAGAGAGAGAGAGAGAGAGAGAGAGAGAGAGCCCTAGATATTATTAGCTTGCTACTGTTTATGGTTATGAGGTCAAAAGGGAAAGAAAGCCCAGATTATACAAGGCTCATTCTGGGACCCCAAAACCTGGAACCCATGGGAGAAGGCATATAGTGATGAGAAAGGTAGAGACCTAGAAATAGCTGAAGATACCCCTCAGGTTTGACCTTCAATAGAACGAAAAAAAACCCGATGTTCCAGCATGCTGACGGAGGCTTTATTTTAACAATGATCTGATTTGAGAGACTATAGTAATCAGAGAATACTCCACAATGGAGCTGTTGGAAATAGGGAAGACTTTCAAACAAGCAATGAAGGAGCCCCTCATCACCTGAGGTGTGAGGATATGAGACATGGAGCAAATGATATTAGTTTAAGTGCTACAGAAGCATTAAAGCTGAGCAATATAACCACCCATGCCTCCTTGAGCTAGAGGCTGCATAACCTGAAGCAGTACAAGGGGAAGCAGTCCCTGAGTGACTGGGTTGTGTGGGCTATTAGAAACACTTGGTCATCACCAGTGGAGGTTCCCATGGATATCAGGGACTGGAGGACGATAGAGGAGGGACAGGCACTACTGAGAGAACTAAGTATAGGAAAGCAGTGTATGGTGCCCAGTTCACTGGGCCAGATAGAACTGTGTTCACCAGAAATTTAAAGAACTTGATTCATCAGGGACCTCAAGATTTGTATGAAGCTTTAGTGGCTTCACTGAATCCCCTAGTGGGGCAGGATCTCTATGAAGTAGGAAAGGCTTTGGCAGATCTAAGTGACTTAGAACAACATGCAAAATGTGTCTATAAAATAGTAAAGCAACCTAAAAGAGATACATAAAAGACAAAGCAGAAAAAGAGGTCTGTTTTGGGCTACTCGAAGGCAAATATGGGAAGATTTATGTCCAACCCAAGTTCCTAAAGAAAAATTGAAAAAAAGCCAAATTCTGTGCTAAGGAACTTCTGGAAGGCTTTAAAACCTGAGGAACAGTTCACAAAAGGCATCCCACAATAAAACAATACAGTTACAGAAGATAAAAACTGTCCCAGAGGTGGCTTATGATCTCTCCAGATTAAACAGGGTACATTTTTCTCCTGTGAAAGGTTATGCTAGGGATGGAGACAGTTTGCCCAACTAAGGCCTCCCCCAGCAGCCAGGTATGGTTGGTGGAGAGACAGTAGGTGTGGCTACAGCCAGTAGTCAGACCCAGTGCCTACCTGACCCACGGAACCAACAGATGCATTGGGGCAAGAGAGGCCCTATTCCTCTTTGGTCCTGTGCAGGGCCAGGGAGATTGAGCCAGTCCCAGTGAGTTTATCAAGGATGAAGAAATACAGAGAGGCTCCATGTAAAATCTCCAGGATACCAAATGGTTCCAAAGAAATAACCAAAGATAATAAAGAACTAACTAAATTAATGTGTCTTATCAATGATATGGTACACAATATGGATCTCTTGAGAAAATAATTAATTCAAATGGATAAAGTCTTTCCATGCTGTGTTAGATCTTGCTTATATTAAATTTAGTATATAGTGTTAATGTTACAGATATGGAGCCCAATTGAGAGATATCAAGCACACCTGAAGAAACAAGGATGGAAAATGAATTCACAAAGGGTACAAAGGCCAGTTATAGCTGTAAAATTCTTGGAAGGTTTATGGTCTGGTGAGGCACAAGTGATATACACCAGGATGGCTGAGAAATGTCTACAACAGCCTTGGTCTATAGATGCCAAATAGTAAATAGATACCTTACACAATTGTTAAATAAAAATTCCAGTACCAGGGGTGGCTTGACTAGTGTATACACAACTGACAGTTTTCCTATTTGATTTAAGACCTGCTCCTTGGGGAAGAACACACATCTGGTACTGCAAGCCAGGCCAACTTCTGGTGGCAGGAGAGGTTATAGGCCCCAGTGGGGAAGCCACTGAAATTATCTTGTTAGATGAATGTGATGCACCTGCTAAGTTACCTTCCAAGCATTTGTGTTTACACCCATTGACTAGGTTATTATAGCAGTCAATGTTTGTTTATACATTCCTGCTTCTTTCCTTTTGTGTTTTTATAGTAGTAGGAATACCACTGAAATGGGCCAACAGCCATGTCTTGAAAACAGAGGATGAAAGGCTCAAGAGTTCAGTATCTCCCTACAGTGGAGGGAGGATCATCCTACATCTATGTCACCCCCTCCAAAGTTCAGAAACTTTTGTGGAAGAGGATGGTAGAAAGAATGTAAGAGCCCAAAGAAGGGGTGGAGTATAGCGCAGAATTGTCCTATGAATGTCAAGCTAGTGATAGATGCCTTCTTCCTAAGCTTGGTTGCACCTGCTTGCTTAGGATCAGCACAAACAAACCTGACTGTTGATACTCCACAAGAAAGGAGGGGCCTGGAGAGTAAGCCACATCTCCCAACCAACCAATGGGCCTAATTTGCACAGGGATGAGGGACTAGGGGAACCTAAGGGGAGGAATCCTGTAGGGAGGGGCTTTCACCATTTGGATGACTTCTGGAAAGTCATGATATGGAGACTTCCCAGTGTGTCCTTGGGGGGAGGAGCCCCCACACCCCTGTAAGTGATCCATGGCCCACTGTTCTGTAAATAATCCCAAATAAACTCATTGATTATCCAAACTGTAGTTTGGAGGAATTAGAGTTTGGTTTGTTATAAGGATGGAGGGAGGAGGGGGGCAGATAGTGTTTACACCTCCCAGAAAGAATTTTGGCAACAGACATGTATCGGTCAAGTGGACAGAGCTCTCATGAAAGGTATTAGTGCTTTTATAAAGGAAATCCCAGACAAGTTCTTCAACTTTTCTACTACATAAGGACTCAGCAGAAGATGGTACTTATGAACAATGGGCTGTAACATCACCAGACATTACATTAGCCACTGCTTTGATCTAGAACTTCCTAGTCTCCAGAACTGTGAGAAATTAATTTACATTGTTTGTAAGCTTTCAGCCTATGCCTGTTTTCTTGAGCAATCAAAATGGATTAGGACACAAAAAAGTGTGCATGTGTTTGTTCATGTGCACACACAAATACCTGTAATCTCTTACATTGAGGCCAGGTGAGATAGACAAACCATAGAACTAGAAAAATGAAAGTATATAGCAAATAATAAAGAAAATGCAGGGTGTAAAAGTAGATGAACACAAGACATAAGTACTCGTCAGCAGTTTCATAAAGACTAAGTTACAAAGACTTGTAAGAGAATTACTCCATATACTCTGTCACTTGGGGTAAGTAAAAGAAAGAATTGTGAACCTACATACTTAAATTGGCCCAAAACTTCTAATTTCATGGGTTTCCTAGAGGCAGACCAGGGTATTCCTTTTAGAATCTGACAAACGTTTTACTGTAGTATAGGTAGAACACCACATGTGACTTACATAACCTTTTTACAGTAAATTAACCTCAGCACACCTGTGAAGACAACATGGTCTTTAACTAATTGTTACCACCAGTATTAAACATATTACCAGCATATCTTTGTGTGTAAAAAAACAAGTTCTGGAGCTGGAGGCTTTAAGAACACTTGCTGCTCTTCTTGAGGACCCATGTTCGATTCTTAGTACCTAGACCAGGTAGCTCAAAACAACTTGTAATTACAACTCCAGGGGATCTGATGCCCTCTCTGGCCTTTATGAGCACCTGCACACATGTAGCATACCCCCATACAAACACACAAATTAAAGTAATAATTAAGATAAAATTATGGAGTAATTTTAATTTGCATTTCCTTGATGGCTAAAGATGTTTAACATTTTAAAAAAATATTTCCTACCCACTTGAATTTCATCTCTTGAGCACTCTCTGTTTAGTTCCTTGCCTCAATTTTTAGTTAAGTTGTTCTTTTGATGTTTAGATTTTGAATTCTTATAAATTCTAGAAACTAACCCTCTGTCAGGTGTATAGCTGGCAAAGATTTGTTTCCGAGTCTGTGAGCTGTCTCTTCACTTAAATGATGGTGTCAGAATGGCAAAGATCAGAAAAACAATGATAAATTCTGGTGACTATGTGGGGAAATAAATGCAGCCACAGTAGAAATCAGTGTGGAGTGTCCTCAAAAAGGTAGACATAGATCTACCACAAGACACTGCCATGCCACTCTTGGTCATATACCCAAAGGACTCTGTATCCTACTACCAAGATACCTATTCATCCATGTTCACTGTTTCTCTATTCACAATAGCCAGGAAATGGAAACAACCTAGATGCCCATCAACTGACGAATGAATAATGAAAATGTGGCACATTTGCATGACGGAATATTATTAAGCTATTAAGAAAAATGAAATTAAAACATTTATAGGTAAATGGATAGAACTGGAAATAATCATCCCGAGAAAGGCAACACAGAGGCCGCCCCCTCCAAAAAAAAAAACTCAATGCATGTTCTTTCTCATAAGTGGATGCTAGCTTTGAATCTTTAGGCATGTATGTTTCAATTAGAAAATTCATAGAGGTCAGAAAACCAGTAAGCAGCAATGGGGAAGGGGGGCTTCATGAAAAGGGAGATAAAATGCAGTAACATAAAGGGGAAAATGATAATAATGGGAATGGAAGGATTAAATGGGGTAGGGGATGGGAGGGATTATGGCAGGGTAGAGGAGGGATTATGGGAAGGGATAGCACTAAAGTTCTTTTGAAAAGGCATATGGAAATCTATTACATTAGAATATATCAATATACAATAAAAATAGATTAAAAGGAGCTGCCCTATAACAGGGGGCATTGGTCCTACCAGACATCATAGTCTAGCAAATACAAAGCCCAATGCCAGGAACAGAACCCCTCTTTTGTACTTGTTGATCGGAGGGGTCCCACAGACTCTCAAACAATACTGGCTATAACCATTATTCTTGGTTACCAACCAGAACTTTATGGAAAGACCCTACTGAAGATACCACTCCATATGTTGTAGAACAAACCTGGAGATATCAAGCTGATGCTGGTCTCCAAGCTTCATCTCAACTGGCTAGCTTTCATAGTGCTATAATGTGCTATGCATCCTACCAGAAGAGAAAAATAATCATAAATTTTACCCATCTTTGAACCCTGTGAGCTACAATGATGATTGGACTGGCAAAATATGCCCACTGCTACAATAGTGGCATAAATGTTATGGGAGTAAACAACCACTTTGTACTTGGATTTCAGGCCCACTTCACAAAATGGCCATAAGTGATACTGGTGTCAAGACCAAGAACCTGTAGCTAGAAAGGTCATAGGCTGTAGAAGAGAACAAACTGCTATTATTCTGCTAAGTGGATATAGTGTTAAACTGACTCCTAATGACTTACTGTTACATGCGTACATTTCATGCATCTCTCAACTCTCACCAAAGAAGCTTCTTCTTGGAGAAGGAGATTTACATAGAGACCCACTACTGGTCAAGTGTAGAAAATAAGAGACTGTAGCCTTGCCACAATGGGAGGAAGATTGTCCCACACCTATCACCCCCTCCAAGAGTCAGGGACTTTTTGCAGAAGAGGTTGGTAGAAAGAATGCAAGAGCCAGAGGAAGGGTTGGAGTGTCAACTGGAAGTGTCCTCTGACTACTATGCTAGCAAGCTATAGTCACATGTTGTTGATGGGGGAGTCAGTTACCCCTCCCACTCAATCAGTCAACTTAGTTGTATGTGGGGAAGGAGCTAAGGATACATAAGCTGAGACCACCACGAGGCACCTCTCTTGTCATTTTGTGCAGCTGTCGGGAAGTCCAAGGATCTATATTTGAGTTTTGACTTTCCAACACAGCTGTAATAAATGGGGGGCACCCACTCTTCTGTAAATAAACTCTCACCCTAGGTTCAGAGATGGGTAAAATTTATGATTTGCTTGGTTAGCAAGCCCAATAAATTCATTAGTTAATGGAAACCTTCATTACTCCATCAAAGTTGACCCCATGTTGGCAAATCCTTTGGTCTTTTATTCCTTATTCTTATTTTCCCTCCTCAAACTTCATTGTACATATATTTTTATGTAATATGCTTCAAGTTATTTTTGGAAAAATCTGTTAATATTGCCTCTCTTTGGAATAAAATTAATTAAAAAATAATTGTAAAAAGAAAGTAAGAGACTGTAAGTACTCAGCTGTACGTGGGACACCTATATCATACCCTCTCCCACCAAGGGTCAGAGATCATTGCAGAAAAGGGAGTGGAAGATTGTAATAACCAGAGATGGTGGGCCACTACAAATAAATAGTATTTGTCAGATAGCATGGCAGTTGTATATATGAACTTAACAGCAATTGTGACACCATGTACAAGACCTATGGCAAGTTCAAACCAGACAAATTCCCAGCCTAGAAGGGAGGAGGTTGGTAAGAAGTCCCAATCCTAGCTGATGAACTATTGGCAATTGATAGCTGTTGGGAGAGGGAAAGTCAGTTTTCACTAAGAGTATGACACTGGGTAGGTTGACCAGGCTTCAGAGTATGGAACCAAACCCAGCAGCATTTGGAAAACACAAATTAGACTCAATGGGCTTTTAAAAATATGATAATAGAGGACATGAAGTCAGGACAATGTCATAAAATTGGGTGAGATACTGGGGAGAGGAATCTGAATATGATCAAAATTCATTGTATGAAGTTCTCAAAAAATAAAAATATTTAAAAATTAAAGTATGAATACAAAAAATAACAATTTAAAACATTCCACAGGAACCATGGAAAAAAGCCACTCACTCAAATTCCTCGATCCTTTTCATTTACTTCAGTGTTCTCCCATTGTCCAGGGTTATACAAAATCTGCATTTAAGTGTGCTGAACTTCACACTACAGTGATCTATGTGAATGTTAAGAATAAAACACCTCTACTGATGAATAATAAAGGGCACACACTATGCTACTGAGTTTTCTTGGAACTGCTAGGATAACTTAATTCAGTTAGTATTAGAGATATGTACATATGTGACAACAGACCACAAACCAGTCAGAGCCATTGCTGCTTACATCAACTTGCTGCCCCAGTCTCTGAATTGCTTTGCGTGTGTTGCTCAGTTTCTCTTCCTCTATGTGCAGGTGCTCCTGGGTCTGCTGATGGGCCTCCTGCACAGCCAGCATTACTCTATTAAGTTTGATGATATCTTCATTTATAGATTGCACATCCTCAGTCAGGTTCTGACCTGTGGGAAGAAGATAAAGACTTCTTCATTAGATACCATTGGAAGGTTAGGCCTAACACTAAGGGCACCTTTTTCTTTCATAGTCCAAAATACTCATGAGGTATTTAATCATCAAGAGTCATTTAGTCAAACTCTTGATATATTTTTTAAAAACTCTTGAATTCAATTTCTTCCATACACACAAAAAATGACCCATTTTTGCCATAGACAGAAAATGGAATATTCTGATGAATAAAATTCAATGTGTGGGCTATTTTCAGAGAATATTATTTCACAATAGCCAAACCACTGACAGTATTGAGCATCTGGGGGCTATGAGCTATTATGTTGTATGTCAGAGTTGCTAGAGAGTGGCAGTTAAAGAAGGGTTCCAGCAGACAGCACATGTGAAGCTGAAAACTGGCTATCAGCCCCAACACAAGAGCTGCTGTTTAATCATCTGACAAATTATTTCATCTTGGAGAATGGGTGCTGATCAGATGTTTCATTCAGACTCCTCACTAATGTCAAGTCACATGTGGATGCAAAAATTAAAACCCAGAGCTAAAACAAAATTTGAGTCCTTAAGTGGAATTAAGGAAATGGCTTCCAGGTCAAACTCAGGATCGTTGCTTGATTTGGGGATTCAAACACATCCCAAATCACTTTTTAGCAAAAGGCATCATGCTTACACTCTTTCCAAAATGGATGGTTATGAGTCTGATGAAATCAGTTTCCTCTATTAGATTCTAGATGTAAAAATATTGTTTATTTTAATTAACTGGGGCTCCATACATGCAAGCTGACTGGGGACAATACGTGATACAGTTTAGTGGAACCTTTACTTTATGCTGGTTCTGACTCCCATCATTGTAAAGTTGTGGACATTGTTAATTAACAGACTACTTCTGGTATCAAAAAATCTAAACCTTCCTAATACTCTAGAAAAAGTACTTTATGCTCTGCTGAATGCTTCTCCTTCTCTAACTTTGCCAACACTGTTTCCAGGTCATCGATTTCATTTTTCAACTCAGAACATTCATCTTCTAGTATCTGCCCTCTGGCAGTCAGCTCAGAATTTATCTCCTCTTCTTCCTCCACCCACCCAGATAGCTCCTTGACTCTGGCCTCCAGCTGCATCTTGGATTTAATTAGAGAATGGCACTGCTCTTCAACATTTGCCGGGGTCTCTTTCTTCTGCCATGATGAGGAGAAAATTGTTACCAATAGCTATAAGTACTTTATCACTTGGGTGAAAACACTGTCTAACACACAGCAAGGAGATAATTGCCTGTCCTCTGCCAAAAACTTTTACCTACCTTTTCCAGGCAACTGAAATAATAGTCCCAGGTTCCCAATTCGATTGTTGAGGAATAGAGGATTTCTTTATGTTTAGAAGAGACTTCCATCTCTCATCCCCATTTAGTAGATTAAGTGATCTCTTCTAAGGCACTTAATGGAATAATGGTGGTGTAACAGTGTTTACATGCTTCTAAAAACCAAATGTGTGGTGCCTAAATCAATGCATCTGGAAAAACTGATGTGGTCATATAGTTTGAGATTGACAACTACCTAGAATGTCATCTTTCTAAGAAAGGAGTGTTCTCTTGCACAACATAATATTTATAAGTGCTATAAATATCCTGATGCATTTATTACACACACACACACACATATATATATATATATATATTTGTGAGAGAGAGAGAGAGAGAGAGAGAGGCTAAAAAAACAATTTGATGAATATCTGGCCTATTCATTCTGCTGCCCTCATGAGTTTCTTTTTCAGCATAGCTTGCATCTAGGAATTAACAAATCCTGGGAACTTTGCTTGCCTTTATCCCTACAATGCTTGGTGAGAGACATGGATTCCTTTGATTTGCTTTTCTATTTGGGTCACACACACACACACACACACATATATATATATATATATATTTGTAGTAAACTGAGCTGAGAAGTATATTTTTATGCATAGGCTGAATTTAGAACTCATAAGCTTACTTACAAGTCACTATTAATTTCTACTAAAATTTTTGTCTCAATGATTCTGCCAGAAGCAAATTCTACAAGTAATACACATAAAGCACAAATCCTCCTTGTTTTTGACATTTTATATGTGTTTATATATCACTGAGTTTCCCTTTGTTCTCATGTTATGGGTGAAATAAAAGGCGAAGAGGCACCTGGAAGCTTCTATGCACACTATAGGGGAGAAAAGTTCATCAGCATTCTTACCCAGCTGTAACTCTGTGAACTACAATAACAATTGACCTGGTAATATATGCCCACTAGTGTAACAGTGGCATGAATGTTATGAGAGTAACCAACTACTTTCTAATTGGACTTAAAACCCACTCCACAAGATGGAACCCATGCCGGTACCAGTAACTGGGCCAAAAGCCAGTGGCTGGCTACATCATAGGCCCTAGGGAAGAACCTAGTACTATTATTCTGCAAAACGGATACAGGAATAGGAATAAACTTCACCCTACATTATCTTAATCCTCTTCAGAAAAGCATCTTTTTTTGCACTAGATGCCAACTAATACAAAGACCCATAGTCAGTCAATGCGGAGTGCTAAATGGGGCATCTATATCATACCAGCTTCCCTCCAAGGCTCAGTGAAGAAGGGACAGAAAGATTGTAAGAGCCAAAAGGAATAGATATTTGCAACAAAACAGTATTTTCTAGACAGTTCAGTTGTGCATATCCACTCACAATTGCTATGACTGCATGTATAAGACTTGCACAAGATCAAGCCAATCAAAATCCCAGCATGGGCAGGGGAGGGTCTCATGAAGTCTCACTGCTATCTGAGGAGCTGTTAGCAAGTAATGGCTGCTGGGGGAGGGAGAGTCAGTTTTCTTCAAGGATATGGGCCCTGAGAGGTTGTCCATGCTCTAGTAGATGGTCCTACACTCATGCACATACAAACATCAGTAAATATAATCAGAAGGTTAGAGAGAGAGAGAGAGAGAGAGAGAGAGAGAGAGAGAGAGAGAGAGAGAGAAGAGTTGAAGTTGGGAGGGAAAAGTGGTAGAGGAATAGGCGAGTAATTGAAGGGGAGGTAATGGGTATGGATTAGATCCAAACATATTATATACATGTATGAATATTAAATATTTTAATTAAGAGGTATTTTACTATAGATCACCTTTTATAACTTCAAACCTTGTAATTTATCTACTTTAGATTAAAAATAAAAGCGCTTCTTTTGGGTGGTGTAATTCTTATTGCAACTTAACTTCACACATATCTTGTAGTTTGGATCTTGCACTTCTTACAAAGATCCATGTGTTAAAGGTTTGGTCCACAGACAGCACGATGGAGAAGTATTAGACCCTTAGGTCGGGTCTGATGAAAGGGCCTTATGTCACTGGGGTCATTCTCATGAAGGGGATTGTTAAGCCTTGGTCTCTTGGTATTTTTTGTTTCACTGCCACAAGGTGAGCAGCATCTTGAATCCCCACCAGAAGTCAAAATTTAGAATTTATAACGTATACATTGCAGGATCTGAAGGAAAGAGGGAAGTCCATGATTTCTTTCAGATTTCTTTCGTTTCTTTCAGTTCTCAATCCTGACGATATCAGGATCACCAATATAGCTTCTTAAGACCCACACAGCAAATCATTCCTTCATTTATTAATGGTTCATATATATGTGTGGTAGAAAAGGAAGGATAAAAATGCTCTTTTAAAGAACTCAATTAGTAATGATTTGATCTAAGGGAAAAGGAGGAAGATAAAAATCAGGAAATATAAGTAGAATCGTACTGCAAAAATTGTGAAGATCTGTCAACTCTTTCTCAGGACTTACTAAAATCCCATCTACTGATTTGCTAATGGGTCACCCTCAGTTATGATCCAGTGCCCCAATCAGGCATGGCAGCTCAAAAATATAATCCCAGCACTCAGGAGGCTGAAGCAGGACGATTCTGAGTTTGAAGGCAGTCTGTGCTGTATAAGGAGTTCCAGACCAACCTGGACTAAAGAGAGAGCCCATCTCAAAATAAAAAGATCCAGCACTTTCTGTCCCCAAAATAGTTATGATGAGATTATATACTAAACGCACAGCTCATAGTCACTTTTTCTTCTCCTCCTCTTCACCTTCTCTTCCTTCTTTTTTTGCATGTGTAATATGTTTAGTAGGTGTACATATGTATGTGGACATACATGCACATATGTACACGTGCATGTACAGAGGCTGGATATTCATTTTGGTATCTTCTTTGATTGCTTTCTACATTATTCATTGAGGCAGGTTCTCAGTTGAGCACAGAAGTCACCAGTCAGCTAAATGAGCTAGCCAGTTTGACCCAGCGATCCCCTGTCTTTTAAGCACTGAGATTACAAGTAGCTACTGCACTTGCTGGGCTTTTACATAGGTACTGGGGATCTGAACTCCAATCCTCATGTTTGCTGTGGCAAGTGTGTAATCTACTGAACAATCTCCCCAGCCCCAGTTGGTGTCTAAGCCATCCTGCCAAAGAATTACTTCATTTTGCAACAAAGTGTCTTTTTTTCACAAGTTGCCACAGTCTGTGTTTAATAAAAATTTACAGTATTCAAAAAGTTAATGCACGCTTCTAGAACACTTAGTCTAATTTAAAGCTGGATATAAAGGGTGATGGGACCACTCATAGCCTGCAGCTGGAGAAGCAGCTCATTCTTTTCTTGGATAAGGGAGACTTGCTTTGTTTTCAGCTCCTCCCTCTGAGATTCTGAATTCTCCAAACCTTTCTGTAGTTGTACACACTCTTCTTTCAGTCTAAATATCTCCTGTTCGACTCTTACAGACTTAGCAATGGGCTTGATCTTGAAGAAGACCCCAATCCAAGGCTAATTCTTCACAGCCATGAAAGTTCTTGTGTTCTCTTGGATCAAAAAAATCTCATTCCTAAATAATAAATGAAAGAAAAAGCAGTTAAGAGAGACTATAACAAAGTGAAAGTAAGAGAATCATAAATACAATTATAAATAAAAAATCATGATTGACTCCAAAGAAATATAAAGGCTTATGGTAGACTGCTATAAATAATTATAAACCAAAATTTTGACAGCCTAGAAAAAATATAAATTCCTACATATATATAATCAACAGGGAGAAAAATCATTAAACAAACAATCTAGACTCATTTACCCCATAGAGAACCAGGGCAGTAAATGAATGACTTCTTTCCAAAGTCAGACACTGGGGGAGAACCCTTGACTCTAAAGGGAATGACTAGAATGCTATATGGCATAAAGACTCAGGACACCAGCATAGAGAGATAAAAGCATGCACTGTGTGACCTGAGCAAAGGAGATGGGATGGGGAGGGGGTAAAACTCTACACTGCCAGGAACAATTCTTAACTTCAATGGCCCCATCATTATCATGTTCCACAGACCTCATGGGCTTTCAGTCCAGTTTAGGGAGCTATCCAGAGCCTGTGAAACTTCTTTGTGCCTAAGAAGATACCAATATTAGATCCCAACAGTCTCTAGAAATCAAGCTGCTGTATAACAGTATAACCTTAAGAATGGAGCCCTTCCTGCTCCAGGCCCAGTAGCCTCTGCACTTCTCCATTCCTGGAGATCTAGAAGCATTCTCCCACATACAAAAATACTTACAACTTCATAAACCCAACAAGAACCAGATGTCTAATGGTGACCCCAACAACCAAGTTCATAATCAACTCAGTAATCCAGAAAATTACTAGGCCAGAATAGCAAAGAATGCCATCTCTAAGACTAGAAGAATTGGCATACTTGTCTTCTGGAGCATAATAGTCTGTATCTCAACTCTCTCCCAGTTTTGGTACTGTATCTGCTATTGCAGAGTTTATCTTTATGGGGCCTAAGGACACATTTTTCCATAGCCCAAAGCTGCTACCAGTACAGCTCTGGCACCGTGAACACTACCCTCAGTGGAGCCTGAGTAAATGTTCCTTCATGGTCCACAAGCATAGCATTGAGGCTGCTACTGCCAGAGAACCAAGCAGGAGTGACACTTGCCTCTGCAAGACCTTCAAATAGTACTGTAGCTGCCAGTAGTGTCACATTTAATTCAGTAGGCTCTATCAGGCTTTGTCCACAGCAAAATCACACCTATACTTCCTCAACTACCTGTGGTCTAGTCCACTGAGATACAATCAAGTACCACTAAGGATGGTTATAGCTGAAAAGATTGCAAGGCAGTTACATTTCTGTGCTTACTCAGCCCAAAGTCAAAAAACTCACCCAAAAGATACCCATGTAAACCAAAAGACTTTCCAGATCAAAGTTAGTCTGCGGGGGTCTGAGGCCAGGGGCGAGGCAGGATGGTGCCTAGAGGAAACGGCGGAAACATGGCCAGGCTTGTTTTGAAGAATCACTAATTGGCTCCTGTCATTTCCGGGCATCTTGGCAGGGAGTCATCACCTCCTGCGACCGCTATGCTGTGCTATGGAGAGGAGACTTCATGCTCAAGTTCACCTTTAATAGGATTGGACACTTGGTTGGGGAGGGGATTTTCCTTTGTGGTTTTTGCCTTCATAAGCCCTGTAACGCCTGCAATAAACGAGTTCCTGGTTGACTGGCTCCCTGTCACGTCTGATTGTCTCCCCAACGAGGCTGAGGGTAACAGGCAGACAGCTCATCTCCCTTTCTCCGGCTCCTGTGTTGGGGCAGGATCCCCAACATTAGTCTATACATATCAAAAGGGAAATTACTCTATCACACCACAGACAAGAAGCAAGAAAGTGTGACACTATGAATGTAATACAGTAATTTCCCAGTGCTGTATTTTGGATCTTGTGTGTCCCCCAGTAGCTTGTGCATTTTTATTGGTTGCCAGCTGATAGGGCTCTGGGGAGATGGTGGAACCAAAGGAAGTAGGACTTAGTAGAATAAAGTTAGGTCATTGGGGTGTGCCACTAAATGGGGATTTTTAGACCCCTGACTCTTCCTCTCTGTTTCTTTCTAAGCAACATGGGATGGATGAGCAGTTTCTTTACAAGGCACTCCTATAATTTATTTCCTAGCTTCCTAACCCAAAGCAACAAGGCCTGAAGCCTCTGGAATTAAAATAAATCTTTCCACTTCATATATTGACCATCTCAATTTTTTTGTTGTTGTTGCAGTAATAGAAAACTTTGTAACATCCAAAAACACAGCTCAATGGGAAGTAACTCTGTTAAGTGCCTAAAAAAGAATTCAAAATAATTATTCCAGGAAAAGTCAATGAGATGCAGGAGAATTTAGTGAAATTAAGAAAATAATTTATGGGGCTGGAGAGATGGCTGAGCAGTTAAGAGCACTGACTACTTTTGCAGAGGACCCAGGTTTGATTCCCAGCACCCACATGGTGGCTATGAACCATCCTTAACTCCAGTTCCAGGGGAATCTAAAGCCCTTTTCTGACGGGTGTACTCACATGCAGACAATACATTCATACACATAAAATAAAAATAAATAAAATATAAAAAAAATTTATGAAGTGAATGAGAATTTTGACACAGAGAAAGAAGTCACTAAAAGAATCAAGCAAAAATAATAATAATAATAATAATAATAATAATAATAAAATATTTTTTAAAAAAAGAGAATGCCTGCTCTTAGCACTGTTGGGTTGTAAAACCATGTGTTTTAAGCTTGCATGGCTCTGAAGGTTCTCCAACCTTGCCCTCTGCCAGTACCATCTGAGTTGTTCTGAGCATACCTACTATTTTTGCAGTTCAATCAGAGTCAAAGTTCACAGGTGCCGAGGATCTCCCCAATGAAATAGAGAATTGGCATATGTTCAATAATCAAAGTTTCCAAAGCTCTTAGACCAATAATTCCAGCTAAGTTTTAAGCATAAAGAGAGAATTACAGTATTTATCTAGACAGATAACCTTGGGGGTACAAAATGATTTTTTGGTAATGAATATGAAATATCTTTGGGGGAAAAATATCTGTGAGAGAACCTTTTCTAGTTGAATTTACTCTGGTCCTTCTAGCTTCCTGGCTCTAGATGCATATATATCTTCTAAGACTTAAGAAGTTTTCAGAAATTTTATTCTGAAATAAGTTTCAGTGATTTTCCTTTTTTTTTCTCCTGAAGTTTTTGGAATTCAAGTATTTCTTCACTTAATGATGTGTCATAAGCCTCTTTGGTGTTCATTTGTTTTAATTTTTTTTTAGTGTACATATGTCTTATTTTCAAAGACCTGCCCTTCAGTTCTACAAAGTTTTCCTTCTGTTTGTTGTAGTATGTTGCTGAAGCTATCAGTTTTATCTCTCTCTCTTTCTCT